CTGCGAATAAAATAAAAGTCACATAACATTTCTATGGAAAATTCACTTAGTATTGTTTGTTTGAATCTTCTCATTGATGTTTAGGACTGCAACTGGTCAGTCTCTTGTTGGGCATATTGTGCGTATTGCCTCGATAAAGCCGTAAATCACAAGTATTATAAGCAAAGATGGACAGGTATATCCAGCTGATGAGTCCCGAACAGGACGAAACGAGCGTCCTGGATTCCACTGCTAGCCACTGTCCATCTTTGCTTATAAATTCTATGGAAAATGTTTTTAGTAAAAACTGCACATCATTTTGAATATATTCTTAAAATCACTAAACAATTAGTTCATTAAAGGAATCCTTTCTAACTAGTGGATTATATGAATGATAAAATTGCAAACCATATTAATATTCTAGCGAATATACAAACTCTTTTAGACTAAATAATTAAATTATGGTAGACTAAAACTTTATATATGTGACGTAGATTTAAACTCAGACTACTTCTAATGTTTGAAACGATCTTCCCTATGATACAGGATGAAGAGTCTGATATATAATGTTAAGATCTACTGCATATTCTAAAACAAATGATATAGTTGATCAATGCTGCCTTTTCCATTCCCATAAAAGTGAACTCACTCGGATAAAATGAAATAAAGCATCAAAAAATGACCTAGTAATCTGTCTCCGCAAGAGCAGACGACGTGATACGTATGAATGTCATCCCTCACTAGTGAGTTAATCAATCATAAAGAGACAATAAGTCGGTTGATACAGTAAGTTTTATAAAAATTTCGTTGCATAAAGTATCACGTCAGTTGACCTATTTACATAGATCCCAAGTGAGGACCGAAGTCAGGGGAGGCTGCTTACTCGCCCCCTTTCTATTTCATCTGACGATTTATCAAATTATAAAGACAGGAAGCATGGAATACAATGGACATCTCTCAATCAACTAGACGATTTGGACTACCCAGATGACCTAGCTTTTCCATTCCATTCACATCAACAAATCCAAGTCAAGACGACTAATGTAGCAGCAGCCTCTACACCAGTAGGCTTCAACATACATAAGGAAAAAAGCGACATCCTCAAATACAACACAGAAAACACCAACTCAATCACACTTGATGGAGAAGCTCTAAAACAAATGGAAACTTTCGCTTACCTGAACTGCATCATCGATAAACAAGGAGAAGCTCGTGCAGGCGTAAAGGCGAGGACTGGCAGAGCGAGGGCAGCATTCCTACAAATGAAGAACATATGGAACTCAAAACAACTATCAACCAATATCAAAGTGAGAATCGTCAGTACGAGCGTCAAGACAGTTCTACTGTACTACACGCATACATTTTCTGGAAAAAAAATTAAGACAGCTTATCCTCAAGATATTCTGGTGAGTTTCACAGACATGTATGGTGAATGAGGTTTCTTTCTTTCATCACTAGAGCCCACTTCTGAAAGTCTGTCAGTTGTGTCTTGCTAGTATGTTTTCTGTGAATAGATTTTTGAATAGTTTTATCTTGTAAATTACTAGAAAAAACAATCGGATCCTTGTGCAACGTTTATTTTCAAGTCACTTGTCCAGGACTAGACACATATTGCTCGCATAATTACGTCTGTTACCCAGCGTGGAGACGCACAGATCCCTTACCAGTATTCTCCATCCAACTCTGTTCTGAACCATCCTATCCAACTGTTTCCAGTTGATATTAATTCTTTTCATATTTGTTTCCGATTCCCGACTTAGTGTGTTCTTTGGCCTTCCTCTTTCCCATTCTCCCCCCATGATTCTAGGTAAGCGCTCACCTCGTGATGCAGTTTAGTGATTCCCGTAATATTTCCTCTATCCACTTTCAACGTCTTTTCCTAACTTCTTCCTCATCTGGAAGTTGCTGCTACATTAGTTGTCTTGACCTGGATTTGTTGATGTGTATGGAATGGAAGAGCTAGATCATCTAAGAAGTTCAAGTCGTCTGGTTGACTTCGAGACGTCCATTGTATTCCGTGCTTCCTGTCAGATTTTGAGGTCTTCATAATTCAGTCAACCAACAGAGGAAAGAAGAAGAGAGGAGTAAGCAGTCTTGCATGACACCGGTCCTAACTTGGAATGCGTCTGTCAGCTGTCCTCCATGCACGATATTGCCTTGTATTCCGTTGTGTGAATTCCGTGTGATATTGACGATCGTATCAATTGCATCACTGTGTCGAAACAAGTTGCATAAGCTTTTCTTTATTCAAGTTGTCAAATGCTTTTACACAGTCATAGAAGTTGATGTGTAGTGATGGGTTCCATTCAATTGGTTGTTCAACGATGATCCGTAGTGTCGCGATTTGGTCTGTGCACGACCAATCTTTACGGAATTCGGCATGTTGATCTTGAAGCTGGACGTCTACTGAGTCTTTCAACTGGTTCAGCAACATTGTTGAAAATTTTTCCTGGTACTGATAACAAACTGATGTCTCTGTAATTCTCACATTTCCTCAGATCCCCTTTCTTTGATATCCTGATCAGGTATCCTTGTTTCCAGTCCGTCGGCACTTGTTCTTCCTCCAATATCTTCCTGAATAGAACGTGAAGCGTGTTTGCAGTTACTTCAATGTCTGATTTCAGTGATCCAGGTGGTATATTGTCAGATGCTGCTGCTTTCCGATTCTCGGTTTGTCTAATGGCCATCCTGATCTCTTCGATCACTGGTACAGTGACATCTATGGGAAGGTTTGTGTGTGCTGCTTCCATGTCTGGGGCTGATCTATTCGAGATTTTTTCAGAATGTTCTACCCACCTGTTCCATTGTTCTTGAATCTCAGTGATAGACTGGATATATATAAATATATGTTTCAGCTTTAAAAGGAATCTTTCTGAAACCACTACCTTCACAAAACTAGTTTCTAAACCTCATTCGCTAGTTAAACAAGTTAAACAGGTCCATTATTTGGAACAGTACCCGTTGTTAGGCCTATAAATTCTTCGGTTTGGCAACTGGTAGATATTAGTTAGCTATTTTGTGATGTTTTAATGCTCCTCACCAATATATGTATAATGCGTCCTTTTCTAAGTTAAGGTCATCATCTTGATTTTAGGAATAAAATTTACATTAGTTCATATTTTAAAGTTACATTTTGAATCATCTTTAGTAACTAAAGAAAAATGTGTTAAAAGAAGTTCCAGTGTGAGACCAATAGATCATTAATCGAAGGAATAGTAAATTCATTAATAATACTTAATATATGTCACCATATATCAAAATATAACTGTGGTCACAAAGAAACGATCATTTACGTTCAAGTAAATTTGAGTTTTTCAACACTCACTCTACAGTTGATTAAAAATGCATACTACTATGAATTTGTTAACCTACATTAATAAAGCACTTATATATGTTGGAAGTATTTTTAAACATCGAGGTTATTATGATATAAAAATTTCCGACAAGTAAGACCTAATGTGGTATAGTGTTTAAGGAATTAGTTATGTCATTTATTAGCACGTATACAAAATGAATTTACATAAGAATAAACGCATGGACGTATTGTGGTATGGGTTACTTATATCCACATAAGTAGTATATAACGATGGTAAGGCAATGAGTGTATTTCAGTAGAAGATCGATAACAAAAGAACGGGAACGAAACGCAATTGCTATGAAAATGCATAAACAACAATGATCGGAGACGACGGACTGATATTTGCAGAAGGATTGAGACGATTGATAGTTTGCAAATTAACTATTTACTATATAGTTCTCATGTTTTATTTAGATATTCCTTAATTTTGTGCCTAAATACATTCGATTGTCCCCACTTTTCTTCTTGTCCACTACAGCATTTTATTCTGTCTTAGATTGTATTCAAATATCTTATTTATTATTTTATAGGTAGCGCTAAATGTACTTATTTGGTTCAATTACACATTTGATTCCTATTGTTTATTTTATTATACTGTGATAGTTAACATTTACGGTAGATCCACGTCGTCAGTTTTACACATTGTTCTTAATGATCTAGAAGCACTTGTCTGATACATACCTAGCTTTAGAATGATGATTTTATCCCAGCATTCAAAATTTATTAGGTTTGTAAAAATATAGCATCAATACACAGCTTCATTATTTTATTTTGTAACTTAATGGAATAGTTCCATCACAGCCACTGAAGAGTAAGCTGAAGCAGCTATGAAATGCTGTCTATCTTTCGCTAGTATTCAGTAGCACATAATATTTTAAATCTCAGTTATTTTTATGTTTTTCAAAAATAACTCAGTCATCAAACTTCTCTAATTTGTGTGATCCCTGTTCGAAGTTAGTTCCTACCACTGACTGCTATCAGCTTGAGGACCATTAAAAAAAGACATAAATGACCATCTGTTCAATTCTAATTTAGGAACTCTCAAGGGTAAATATTTACGGCTTCATAAGAAATCGATTTCCCAAACATTCTTGTAACGAACCTAATACCTTAAGATCAATGAATCGTAATCCAAAGGTAAACATTCTCAATTACAGTCAGTTTGAATGTAGAGTAACGGTCATTTGCTCTGTCAAGGTTCTGTTTATAGTACAATGATAAGACAGATTTTATCTGACACCTAGTGTTATCTATGATTTTTTTAGACTGATTTCAAAGATTATTAGATCAGGGGTAGTCTAAACTTTCAAACAATCTTTACATAAAAGAATTTGGCTTCATAGAAAAATATCGGTGAATGGAGTAACTGTCCATGGTTTCAACGGTCACTACCGAATTTGTATGCTAGCTAGCATTTCTATGTTGGCTGAATGGATAATGGAATGGCGTTACTTCTTTGAGAATAAATAGATCGATCAATTAGACAATCTTACATCTAGTTCTTTACTATTTCATTTTTGTATGGGTTACATGATTTCAACAAGTAAAATAGAATTATCACTTTTGAGTTTCCAATAATATTAGTTGCTAAGGTAAATCAAACTAAAATATCTTAGAATTGTTCTCAACTATTATATCAGTTTTCTACGTATATTTTTTAAAGGTACATTAGACGTATTAACGGCAGTAAGAATCAGCGAACAAGCATATGTACAAACTTCACCTGGTCGATGCCGTCAAGATTCAAATGATTTGGCAACATCATCAAATGTTGCAGAAAATGTAGCTTATTCTATTCCTCGTGGATTAAGTCTTTACATAGAAGGTCGATCTTTAATCCCTGGTAAGTTTTGTATTTTCATTTATTTATTAATTACTAAAAATAACCCTTTCTGAAACTGAAAACGTTGATTCTTTCACTTCGTTATCGATTGTCAATTATCAATAGAACTATTTATAAGGGTTCCTATTGATCACCTCCAAATGAATAATAATAATAACTGTTATTTGATTGAATTATTTCCTTCAAATTTTCCTGTTTGAAAAATGGTAGAATAACATAAGAACTATTACTTTCTCATTTTAATAGAATCTTTTATTTAATAACCACCATTATCTATAATGTCATTAGGCCACGACCCAAGCACAACCTACCGCAGCATCTCAATCAAGTCATCTATACCGAACTAGGCTGTGGCCTCTGCACCAATAAGCCTCAACACACACGGGAGAAAAAGCAAGACTCTCAAATACAACACGGAGAACACCAACCCAGTCACACTTGATGGAGAAACTCTGGAAGAGATGTAAACATTCACGTACCTAGGAAGCATCATTGATAAACAAGGAGGATCGGATGCAGATTTAAAGGCGAGGATTGGCAAAGCAAGGGCAGCATTCCTACAATTGAAGAACATATGGAACTCAAAACAACTATCAACTAACTCCAAAGTGAGAATCTTCAATACGAACGTCGAGACAGTCCTACTGTACGGAGCCGAAACGTGGAGAACCATTACATCCATCGTCAAGAAGGTACAAGTATTTATAAGCAGTTGTCTACGCAAAATACTCAACATCCATTGGCCGGATACTATCAGCAACAGCATTTTCTGGGAGAGGACAAACCAGCTTCCAGCTGATGGGGAAATTAGGAAAGGACGTTGGAAGTGGATCGGACATACATTAAGGAAATCACCATACTCCATCACGAGGCAAGCCCTAACTTGGAATGGTGAAGGAAGCTGAAAAGAGGAAGGCCAAAGAACACATTACGCCGGGAAATAGAAGCAGATATGAAAAGGATGGACAACAACTGGAAAGGGTTGCTCAGGACAGGTTTGGATGGAGAATGCTGGTGTGCAGCCCATGCTCTTCCACGAGGGGTAACAGGTGTAAGTAAGTTAGTAAATAAGTAAATAGGCATTATCTATAATACTTCTATAAATAGTTTAAAGAAATATTCTATTGAACATATACATTAAAATGTTTGAAAAATTGGCAATCTCTGCTTACCATGCTTGTGAATTAAGGCTATATCGAGGCAATACGCACAGTATGCATATATGCCAATTAGAGGCTTACCAGTTGCAGTCCTAACAAATCGATGGAAAGATTCAAACAAACAATACTGAATGAATGGCAATACTTACTGTTTATCAATTAAAATAATAAATTCAATGTGAAATAGTTTATTATTTAACTTGGAATTAATTTATCTGAGTTTAGTGTTTTACTGAATTCCTTGTATTATTTATATTATAAATTCAGTTCAAGTGTTTCATGATCCTTTTCGCTTAATTGTATTTCCGCAAATTCACTCAGAATACAATTGTTTTTCAATATTTAATTAATTTGTAACATAGCAAATAGTGTTTAGCTGTTTGTATTCAGTATAACTATAGTCCATAAATTAGTTTTTGATAATTTTCTATGATCCTTCTAAGGTGAACATAATTTATGTGAGACTTTCAGGTAATTTACTCATTTAGTTATATACTTGCCCTGTTAAAGTTAGCTTACTTGATAACATAGTCAACTGAGAAGAACCATTTTTTACCCACTTATGTCTTTTGAGTAGTAATTGTACTAACAGAATATCCTTTTTATGTACAGATTCATTTCCTCCAGATCTGTCTATTTTATTTACTATTCGATTGGAATCAAATTTGGAAAAAGAGTTTTTCACTCTATATGATCGACATGGACGAATGATTTTACGCATAATAATTGGCTCACATTTGCAATTAGAATATTTATCAAGAGAATCACAATCTAGTCAGCTTTTTGATGTGCACCCCCGAGATTTAAAAACACAGTCAGGAAAAACATTAGAGAAAGCTATTTTTAAAACTCGTCTAAATGATGGCCTGTAAGTTTATGAGTGTTATTTTAGTAATCTTTCATTTAGAACTAGTGGTTTCATTCCATTTCTGTTTCAAGGAGTGCTCTGTTATTTGCTCCTTTCTGTTGGGTTGTTTTTTCTAATATCTATCAATGAAGCCAAATGTTTTCATCCCTAGAATATGTGAAATGTGATTAACAAGGGAATCCAAGACGCATGTTTCTCCCTATATGGAATTAGTTAGCTAGACTGTACGAATTCTTGCTAATAATTTATGTCACTAGTTTAAAAACAACTAAGTAGGGATAAAACCTGTTGATTTATGGCTGTACAGATCTAGACTGTATGCTTCTGAAGTGTAGTGAGTGAACTTTGAATATCATAAAACATAAATTACCTTATTCATATCTAGGCTAAGTATTCCTTCTAGGTTTTTTTTGAGAAGCATCTCATATGAATATGCACGACTATACTAAAGTTCGAAACACTCATCAGGTGCAGAATGTTAGTTACTCATAATTCAGAAGACTGAACAAATTAGACGTTTTTGTAATTCCTCAGTTACTTCATGTTTTTTCCACGAAATGGAAATACTAAAAATAGGATCAGGCACAACCATTAAAAATTAGAGTTATTATTTTAAATACCAAGAAAATCCTGCCATCATTACAATTTTGCTATGAAGCAAACATTTTAAAGCAGTTACTAAGTCACATCTCCTAAAATGACTGCAATTTAAAAACATGTGTATGTTCTATTGAAATAAACATAAATATTTGTTAAAATCCTAGAACTCACGAGATATATATCTTCCGATTCATGAACAGCCAAAAAGCAGTCCATTAACGTATTATCAATAGCGGTTATCAGTCAAAACGCTTCGTGTATGGGACATTTGAGAATCTTGTTTCAAATCCAGTAACTTTTAATAATAGTTTGTCTTAAAATGAAGTAAATTAAACATATCATAATGCAAATTAACAGGTTGTTCAAAATAAACCAAATGACGTGTCCAAGAGTATATAGTACAAATGATTCTCGGTGTATATTTACTAGACTGTCATTTTCTTTTTATCTTACTCAATACATTATATTTTCATAAACTATTCAGATGGCATCGTGTAGCTGTCAGTATTGGTACTACTACAGCAAGATTACTGGTTGATTGTAAACAGAGAGAGTTCATAAATTATAATCGTTCATCAACAAGTATTGATAACAGAGGTCGAATACAAGTATTGAAAGACGGCATTCATGTGAGTTTTCATCATGTATTTGAACTGTTGAAAACGTTTTTGATTACATTCCAAAAGAAATAGTGACTTTTTTCCGCAAGACAGTTTAAGTGAAAATACGATTTAAGCACCAATTAATTTTATTCGTAACATTAGAAATATTGACTACTCGTAAATAAATATATAACAGTATTCATATTTCAAATGAAGGAAGTAAGGTGATGTTTACGGTCGATTTGATAAGTTAATTGAAGACAGTAAACTAGTACGTCGAGTACAATTTAAAATATTTCTTTAAGAAGGCAAACGTGGTCAGTCTTATTGCAAAATGATAGAAATTCCAATACTCCACAAAGCGTTTGGTACAAAATTATAGTTCTAACATTGTACTAACAAATATAAATGGTTACAAACAGATTTTCTGAATAAGACATCAAATGATTTGTCAACCTACAGAGCTCTTGGAAACAAAGTTGTTGATAGAGTTACACATTAGGAATATAAACCGCGAGGCCTGAGTCTTACTTTCTTGGAGAAACTTGATTTCCTACTGAGGTCAATAATTTCCATTATTAACTCTCGTGCCTATAAACTAGCCTACTTATTACAGCAAACATTTTCATTTTTAATTCGCTCGAACTTATGGACTATAACGATAACATGAAATTTCTCTTGGGACCAAGAACTGTAAAAATACAAAGCAGGTTGAATAGATCACAAAGGAAGGAGCTATTCATTGTAATCGCTTAGAGTTAAATTTTTCATCTAATAATGGTCGAATGAATTGCACAATTATACAAAATATTTACTTTTGTAACAAAGAATGATTTTTAATTTCAGAAAAGCTCGAATACTCGCTACTGTTAAGTATGTAATAAGTTTGCCATCAAATAGATTTTGTTTTAAAAAAATACGTTGATTAAAACTAATTATAAAGACCATTTTTTTAGGTAGAATTACAAGAACTTCATACTGTTGAATTACGAACTTTTAGTACATTTGAAAGTAATAAAAGTTAGTTAATAGTACCAAGATGACTTTCTGATATAACCATTTACAAACTACGAAGACTGAATGAGTTGAATTTCATATCGAAAGCAGTGAATAGTTCTTAAAGTTAATATAAAATATACTTAAATATAATCATACAATAATCTTATTGAGAATATTTTCATAGTTGAAAGCATGAGTCAATTGAAGCTAGACCACCAAGGAAAACCTGGAAGCACTAGACGGCCGTTTCGTCATATTGTGGAACTCCTCAGCAGTGCGCATCCACGACCTCGCCCCAGAGCACTTAACTGATAGACCACTGAGCCAGCATCCGATGGTGTTTATGTCTAACTTCAACCAATCCACGAAGTTGAGCAACCGCTCACCAATTGTCTTCAGTGAGTTCCTATCTCACAACAGACGTGGTTTTGAACTCCACTGGTCACTGCTTCTCACTAGAACTCCAGTAATTACTTCTTGAACTCAGTCACATATGATTTCAACTATGCTTTCAACTATGAAAATACTAAATCTCCACAAAACCCCTTCTGATTATTGAGAATAATTAAATAAAACTTGTCTATTTACCAACTATAAATTGCAACTATACCAATATAATTATTTCAAATTTATTTCTTATAGGGTTTTATTGAAGATTTTTATCTTCTACCTGGTGAAGAAGGTGCTATTAAACAATGTGATGTTTATTCACCTAATTGTTTGGATGATCAAATGATGGGAGATGAAGTAAATTGTTTGTTTTTTTTCTTTTGAGACATTTTAATCTTTTAAAGATCCCCATCATATTAAAAGACTAATATTTGAACGAAGAATATTCATTTCGATAAATTCTCTTCAGGTTCTACAATTATATGTATCCAAATTAATAATCCGAAAAATTGGCCACGTTAAAGGCATAGTACATCGTCTAAAGCATGTAAATTTAGCATTGTCAAACCAACTAGAATAAAATTGTTAATGTTAATATGACTCATACAGAATGTTAACTTGAACCACCTTATATGTTAAGTGAAAATTTAAGATCCATGATCAGAATAAATATGGGTCAGATAGGGTGAGAGAGGTATATGATAGTGTAATTACAATTTGATCAAGTGAAAGACTAAATTGTAATTGCACTATGATATCTCTCATCCTATCTGACCCATATTTATTCAGATCACAGATATTAAGTTTTCACTTAACATATATACAGAATCAAGTTAACATCCCATACACGTCAATATCAACATTAACAATTTTATTCTATTTGATTTGACATTCCTAAATTTACATGCTTTAAATGATGTACTCTGCCCCTAACCTGACCATTTTTGCAGATTATTAATTTGGATACATATAATTGTAGAACCTGAGGAGAGAATATATCGAAAAGTATATTATTCGTTCAAATGATTAGTCTTTGAGACATTTTCTTTTCCTTCTATAATCGATTATCCTTCAAAACATTTTGTGGTCTTAATAGTCTAAGAAAAAAAGTAACATGTGTGTTTATTTTCTTTTCGATTTCCTCTTTATCATAAATATAATTTAATTATAAATGGCAGTCTATTATAATATACACTTCTGTCTTGTTCATTTTTATCATGTATGTATAGCACATAAATATTGGATACTTCATAGGATTACAGATAATAAGAAAGGAAGAAAAAACCGGTATAGTATTCCTAAATCTGGGAATCATTCACCATTTTGCCATAAATCAGTACACAGTCTCAATTTATATATATAATTTGATATGAATTACTTAAGATACTATATGGTGTTGTTGATTTTATTGTTTTGTGCTTTGTATTTATGTTTTATAAATTTTGATTGTTTTATAATGACTGAATAATGTTGGAATGAACACCTAAATATGTTTATAATCAATTCGATATTATAATAAATATCAGTAAAAAGATTGAATTAATTTAATAGGATTGTAAATAAATAGGTGGAATGATATTTTATAGTCCACTAATTCGTTTATTTGGAGGATTTAACTAAACCATCCAGCTTAGAGAACAAAACTCCATCAAAATGTATTTAATCAAATAAAAAACAAGTGAATTTGATCAGAATGAACTTATTTATACAAATCTTTAACTAAACTCAATTATTGTATAAAGAAACTAATAAATCTAGACAAGCTTTAAATAGGAAACTATATTATCAGACTTTCTAAGAAGGTAGTGACTTTTAAGGAAATAGTACTTGTATTAAAATTTTATGATAGTTTTATGCTTCATTCTTAAAGGGTAGCTAAACTTTGTTGTTTAAAAAAAATTGTAGGAATATCTCAGTTTATATGTTAGCCACATAACACAGTAGTGTTGTGGTGTGGTCTACTTATATCCACATATGTAGTATATGTTGATGGTCAGATATAGAATGTATTTTGGCAGAAGATCGATAAGGAAAGAACAGGAATGAAGCGCAATCGGTATGAAAATGCATGAACAATGAAATCAGAGAAGATGGACTGATATTTGCAGAAAAAACTGTTAAGATTGAGACAATTGATTATTATTTTGTAAATTAACTGCTGACTGTATGATTGTCAGATTTCAATGAGATAGTCTGTAGTTTGTGCTTAATTACATCCGATTGTCCCCACTCGTGTTCTGTTCACTACAATATGTTCAGGGTACACTTTTTCTCTTATTCATCACATGTCTGTAACTTATTCTTATTTGACTATAAATACTGATTAATGCTTGATAAAATCGAGTTGACTTACCCGCCATCTCCAATGCGTGTCATTTTTACTGATATTTGCTCATATACTTATAGCTTTGTGACCTGCGTCATTTGTCAATAAAACTGTGGTTACCGCTTCTCTTTGCTTTTTGATTTTATGCGCCGTTATGAATTGCATTATAACGGTTATCGAGGTGAACGATTAGCGAAACACGGCACTACAAACATAATCAGAAAAAAAATTTAGTTCAGTATTGGGCATTAAATACTATAAGATGAATAAAAACACATATTTAAATATCAAAAATTAATCAGTATCTAAGGGGACTGATTGTATGAGTGGATAATATAGTTTGTTTTTCTTTTTAAACTATGACATTTTGTCCAAAATCTCGAACAACCCTATTATTTCCTTATTGTCCAATAGTCAGATTATAGACCTACTTTGATTTAAAATACCGAAATGATTTAAAATATTTAATTAACTAAAAAAAACCTAAAACTATTATTAATTTCTTTAGAATTAATTTCCTTTATCAATGAAACTTTCTTCTCTATATTGATAAAATTAATAATACTTTCTATTAGAGAGTGATTTTTTTTTATAGAAAGAAACTGTAATTTTGTTGTGTAAATTTACTTATAGTTTGTTTTTATTATTATTATTTAAACACATATTGGTCCGATGGGGCACCAGATACATATGCGCCATACAAATCTCATTTCATTTGCGCGAGGGCTGTGATACTACCCGGGTGCCCAAACCGAAGCAGGTGGTTTACTTGAGGGGCCACACCCGGAGCCTATGACCTAAAGATCTGATCCACAAGGTTGTGGAGCATTCTAAGGAAATTCAGTCCCATGGTAGCCAGTAACCAATTATTGATTCATACGCCATTTGTTCCTTCAGGATACTGGAGCCCATGTGCACCATTGGTTTGAAATCAGGGTTTTCCAACTTCCCTAGATGGACTCTCCACATCCACCTACCCGGTTAAAGCGCCGGACATTCGTTTTTCGTCCTCTCACCCCCGCCACGAGAAAGCTTTTAGTAGGACCTCCCTGGCAGAGACTTTATACGCGTGGCCATGTGAGAGCAATTGGAGAGGGAGAGCGTACTCTCTCCACTCTCGGCCGTTCCAGGGCATTTATGGGCAATTTTTTTACGTTCAAACCAATAATAATAATAAAATATATAATATGCATATGAAGTGTTTTTCTCAGATTTTTTCTGTGATTATAAACAACAACAAAATAAAATTATTGATTCTGTGTTTTATTGGTAAGATATAATATGAAAGATCAATTGTCTAATTAGGCTGGGTTTATTTTAAAAAAACAAACAGCCTAGATTTCAGATTACTATAACAACTTTTGAATAAAATTTATGCTATATAAGTAGTTACTTAAATGGATAAATTTCTTATTTAAATGTAAGAAGTACTTGATTCAAATTAAATTAAGAATATAATCAAAGATGTAAGTAAAGTCGTACTATGAGTTTTAAAAGGGATGAAATGTGAATCTTGAATTCCAATTTCAGTAATAAGTTGACAAAAACAAATTTTACCTGTGGAATGAAACTTATTAATCTATTGGTTCATTGTATTAAATGTTAAAAACAGTTTTTGAATTGAAAGGAAAAATGGATAGTGCCTAGCAGTGGAATCCAGGATGTGCGTTTCGTCCTATTTGGGACTCATCAGCTGGATGTACCTGCATCTCAGAGTTAGTGTTCACTCTGGGACTCAAACCCAGTACTTTTCGCTTCAAACGCCATCGCGTTTTCCACTCAGCTACTGAGTCCTGATAGCCACTTGCCTGTGCGATGGGGTGAAGTTTAAATTCACATTAATGGGAAGATTCAAACTAATCCTGGATTCCACTGCTAGCCACTATCCATCTTTGCTTATAATGCTTGTGAATTAAGGCTATATCGAGGCAATATGCACATTATGCATATATGTCAATAAGACACTGATCAATTGCAGTCCTAAACATCAATGGGATGATTCAAACAAACAATACTAAGTGGATTTAAGTTTTCGAATTATTTGTTTTTGTATAAAAAAACTTGAATGAATATAGAGTTTCGATGAAGAAAAAGAGATAATTTAGAAATGACACAACGGATTCATTTGAGTATATCCATTTTAATAAAAATGATGAGACATCACCTTAACAGTTAATGGTGTTTGCGTTCATCTAACCAATATCTTAATGGTTAGATATTAGTTAGTTTAGTAAATATTTTCTATTGATAAATATGCATTTACTAATGACCATTTTATTTACTGTCAATTTTTATTTTGCACATTTTTTGTCCCAAATTTCTAGGGAGATAAAGATACTGATCCAATGCAGGTAAGTTTATCTGTTTTCATTTAAGGTCGATTTACCATAGTAATTTACAAAACAATAAGAAGAACTGATACCATGTTTAGTGTATATTAGCTATTATTACCCGGTGTTACGTTTTACATTTACTAGTATAAGCGGTAGACTGCTCTGTTGTTTATTTGTTAATATCTTCTATGTAGTTTGGTTGTCAGCTTACTTATTTGATTTCGTCTCCACTTCTGCATACCATAATAAATATAACAACCAAGAATTATGTCAGTTACAGAGGCCAATATATTCACTTGTTTTCTTTAAGTAAATCCAACTAACTACTGATTGTTCCAGGCTAAATTACTCGACAAGTTTCATAAATTTTGTTAAAACTGTTAATATCTGTTAGTTCTAAAAACCTGGGTGTGAAAATAAATCATTGCTCCAAGCTTAAACTTGTACTATGCTGAAGAAAAGTATCACTAAATGAAAATAAGGAGCATTCAACGAAGAAAATTTTGTTTTCGATTAAAAGATTTACTTAGGCTGTACATTAGTATTTATAGTTGTTTGATAGATATATAAATTCATAAAAAGATAGGAAAGATTGCATCATAAAATGATCCTAGATGCTTATTTGTTCATTGTAATTCAATGCTCATATGATGAATATATTTGTTTGTCCTGATGCCCTTTGATATACCGGCCACCATTTATAAATTTATCAAGTAACTATGATTACAAATGTACAGTTTAAGTAAATGATTTCATCGAAAAGAAAATTCTTCTCTGAATTCTCTTTATTTTTATTCAATAGCGCATTGGGTTACTTTATTTATCAAAAGTACCAGTCATTCTCAGTGAAAACAGTGTGCTTATTAAGGACTTTTAACTCTACTGATACCATTGATTTTACTTTTTTCCCTTTATTGATTTATTAATATTTTATTCTGTTCGCATACTTCAGGGTCCAGCAGGTTCTATGGGGGATATTGGTCCACCAGGTGACAAAGGTGAACCAGTAAGTAATGAATGTTAATAATTTTAATAGAATAAATGATCTACTAAACGACCATTTGATTTAAGTGAAACAACGATATCTTACCCATGGAACCCAAACAATAAATCCCAAATTAATATATACTTTTAAAAATGTTGAACAACTAACGAAATGACTAAATATATCTAAAAGGAACAAAACATTTTGTTTACAGAATGTTTAACTTAGATATTGTGATTTTAAGTTCTTTACAGCGTGAAGAATAAATCATCAGTGCTAAAATGAAATCTACGAAGTAACTATTGGGGCAGCTGTTCTCCTTGTCATATCAATATATACTTAGAGGATTTTTCTTTGTATGTCATTAAAAGAGAAAGTATACATTGCATTAGTCAATCAAGTTGAATTAATCTCAAGATTTTACTGTTATGACTTGCTCAAGGTCGTTGCTAACTTGTTATGACTTTACAAGAAAAACCAAGGACGTATCCAAATTCGTTATTGGTTTTCATGTCCGGCTTTTATTACGTGAATTATCCACCAATGGAAATACGACTTCTACGACCTTAACACTGTGACAATAAATGACGTTCGATCAGTATGAGTAATCTAGCGTCCTTATTGGTCCTTTATCCGCCTAGCCCTTCCACTTGAGTTCAGAACACCAATGACAGCTTCTGCTATGCGATGCTATGCGAATCGTTTATTTTAAGCATACTTTGTTTATATACCAGACAGGCAGACCACACCATAAAATAGAAAATAATATTTGTACAAAATCAAGCCAAATGTGGCTGTGAACGTGGGAGACAATAATCAATAAACTGAGTATAGTTTAGGAACAGTAAATCGTATAATATTAGGTCGAAATGAAGCTTACAATAAGATGAATTTAGATATACATAATCTAGTTACTGAATAGTTATACAATAAGAATATATATAAAATAATCGTCCAATAATAGGTCCTAGGAGTTACCCGTACTTAAGTCTTCGCTAGGATATAACATTTACTATATATTTAAAAACGATTCAAAAATTAATTGATCATTTAGCAAAGACTAGTTCTATTTAAAATATATTTGACACTAAATAATTATGTTACATATGAATAGCTTTTTATCTGTCATCCTCCTCTAACGGGACTTCTTGGTCCTTCATAGCTTCTGTTACAAGTTAGTTTCGATCAGAGTCTGATAGCTGAAAATTCATTGAAAATCAAGAAATAGTTAACGGTTCTTTCGTGTTAGTTTCGGGTTTGGCAGTAATGAGCATCAACGACGCTCCATGGCATCTAAATCAAAATCTTTAACTGTTGCGGTATACGTGATACGTTTACAGTCCAGAAAGGGTATCCAATGCTTCATAATTCCAAGCTCACTCCATTCGTCATACAATATGACCATCATTAAATCCCATTTATTATTACTGTTTTACATCCGAAATGGTTGACTTCCATCTGTGTATGTTAATCATGACCGAAAAGTACAAATAAAAGACTGAAAACTTATTAGTAAAATTAGTAATAAGAATTGTTTTTGTATGAAGGGGGAAACTCTGTTGCAAGAGCTTCACATAATAGTTTAATGCCGTTCATCGGTTACTGGTACCTTTATCCACATAAAGAAGATATAGAGAACTTTAATCATAATGAAATAATCTGTTGTTTGATTTCACGTATTCATACAACTATTACTGCCTTAAGGAACATCGTGGGATCAGTGTTTTTCAAAAGTTGTTTTATGGAGATCTATGGTTACACTCTAATCACGAATAAAAATCAAATTTCATTTATAAGTTTATATATGCTTATACAGAAGGTGAATTTCTGAAAAAACATAAACTTGATAGATAAAAATCATGACGATGTTTATCTAATAGTTGATGAAAATAATAAAAAACGTGTCCGATTTTTGTCGTATAATACTCACATGATGAATATATATTTGTTTATTTTGATGTCCACTGATATAACAACCACCATTTCGAGCGGTAAAAAGTTATCCACCAGTTTACCAGTTTATAAAAGCTATATTTTGTATCAAGACAGTAAGTAATACAAAGTTGGATGCTTCTCAAATGTTTAAATAACAAAAACGAACAAATTGTAGTGTTTCACTGCTTTAAAAACATGGTTGAAAAAAATTGGATACAAGACGTTTGAAAAATTCTGGCTTTCTCATATATATATATATCACAATATTTCAGTTTTAAGGCCTAACCAGTAACACGTTCTTACTTTTATACTTTTCTTCCGAAAGGGTTTGAATGGGTCATCCGTAGCTGCTGGTGAACCTGGTCCTCCTGGTCCTATGGGTTCGCTATTCATCATTCCTCTCAATCTAGGCGTTGGTAGTAGTAGTTTTGCACGGGCAGCTACATTTCGGGACTTGCTTCAAAAACATTTGGTAAGTTTTTTGACAAGATTATTTCAACAAATAAATATACCACAGTTATAAATATCTCAATTTGTTTTCTTCATTTTCTTGCAGCTTTCCTTAAAAGGTGTACGTGGAGCTAGAGGAATGACTGGTATTACTGGTCCAGAAGGAGGTCCTGGTGAACCTGGTGTTAAAGGGGAAGTTGGGCACCCAGGTGATACAGGATACCAAGGACCTCGTGGACCAATGGGACCGCCTGGACGCCAAGGTTCAAGTGTAAGTCATTTTACAATCACTGTTATATAGACGCCATAGATTAACAAGTGTAGTTTAAATGAAAAAGCGTTTAGATCAAAAGGTTTTGTGCACCTTAATTGTTGATCTAAACAGTATCAGATATCTATTATAATCAACTAGAAGATTGATTGAGAACAATACTGTTCTCAATTAAATTGTCACCAGACTTTGCTCTAATATGCATGAATATATAGATGAGAATTTTTCAAACCAATGAGTCAATGGTCACAATGAAATAAATTGTATAATTAAATACAGCAGGTAAAAATTTATGGTAAGACAGGTGTATTAATGATAAGAATAACAAAATAACAAAAGTTCTATTCAATAGTCCAACAAAGGAAATAGGTCAAACTTGGATAGATAGACTTTAAAATTATAATCACAAAACATTATCAAAATTATGTAATAAAAATTGCATGAATACTTAGATGTTAACGAATATAAACGGAGAGATGATAAATAAATACGGCGTCCATTCATTCGCTGGTTAACTTGTCTGGTATTGCACCCAATATAGCTATCCCCACAGGAGCAGCTGAATTTTTAGATGAAAAATGAGGAAGCCAACTCAGATAATCTATCCTTTGTTTGATTAAATACTACTGGTCTACTAGAAAATGTCAACAAAAGGTTGGTTGCTTAGAAAGTCATATTAACTCCTTTTTGCTTATCTACCATATAGGACATCGCTAACCACATCCTCGTTGGATTTCAGTTTTAAGAATAGAGGTTTCTTATGGGTAGTGAATATTTCCAATTTATATTTCCTCTCATACGTGTACTTTTTAAAAGCTCGGATAGCCGATCTCCATTGTAATGTTATTGATAAACTCCAACTCTTTCTTTATATCATCTAGAGAGACCGTTTTTGCTCTGCATGTGAGACATCCAACAATATTTATTTTGTAGTGAATGAGTGTAAAACTATAGAAATATGTGTATTCGCAAGCAGAAAGGGTCTTTCCGTACGCGCTTCTACATAACAAGCCATCACCCTGTCTACTTTATAAGATATCGATTTGTACTTTTTACTTATTGTACAATTTATTTCATTGTGACCATTGACTCGTAAATTCCTTTGATTGGTTTGACAAGTTTTCATACAAGTATTCACGTATATCGGAGAAAAGTCTAATGACAATCTGAAAACAATATTGTTCACATATATGTGTTGTTCTGATCATCTTTATTCATATTGAAATAAAATATTAAATGACTTTTTCTGTTCGCTTCAAATGTTCAAGACATATTACCTTTTTAGTACATGGAGACAGGACTTAATAAATAACGTTTCTTCCATCCAAAAAATTACTTATATGGTGAAAAAAATAACTAACTAAAGGACATTTCATCCAAAGGCCTTATTTTAAAAACGTGCTAGTTTCAAATTATCCTATACAAACACAACCAAATTGTGTAATGGTGAAGAAGATTTTCAGTCCATGTGGGCGCCTATAGTGGCGCTATGTTTTCTGAGCTAAATAAGTGAGTTGTAGAATAATGTAACAACAGACTTCTACATTAGGTAGGTGTAGATTGCGTTGACCAGAAAAACAGTGAAAGCTTCACAGAATACACCACAATGACACAAGCTGAATTTAATTATGAAAAAAATACTGGAAACGTGAAGAAATAATTGATTTGTAGTTAGTACACAAAATAGAGTTATGTAAGATGACCCTACACGAATAGGATTTATTTCACAACGTTTTGTAAGTATCCTTGTTCCAGATAACTTTTATTATTTATTTATTTGAAATACATAATCTTAGTACCTGTGATATCCAGGCAATATAACCAATTTAATTTCTTCTTTATTTTGGAAGTCACAAACTTTATTGTTCCTCTACGTGAGTGCATATATTTACAACACCGCATCAGTTATGATAAATCCGAATGTGGATTGTTTCCACTGCTAGCCAATATTCATCTTTGCTTACACTATAACTATACTTAATTGTAAGGAAATAATTCCATGTTTTGTTTACAAGATATTATAACACGGTGTATAATTTTGAAAGCCCAAAATGTTTTTTGTATGTTTGGAAATCCCTTTTCTAATGCTACCACAATATATGAATGGTATCATGACTTCTATTATAGGGACCACCGGGATTAGATGGTAGTCGTGGAGAACCTGGTCCATCAGGAATGAAAGTGAGTTATTCACCTAAATTGCTTCATTAGCTGTTTTATCGTTTTCTAGTCATTTAAATGTATTATTCAAAAAAGAAATACTTTAGCTGTCACTACAGCTTAATGTGTGTTATGTACGTATTTAACTTGAATGGATTAAGAACTGTAAACTTCTGCTCAGGTGGTCTCGAGGATTGATGTGGTTTCCTTTCAAAATTTATAAGAGATGAAGTATCTAATAATGAAATATGAAAAAAATCCTTTTATACAGCATTTTAGTTAGCTATGTTAAATTTTGATGGGAGTTATGCAGTTTTATGTATGGCTTAGGAACTAATGATAACAAAATTATTTATTTAAGAATATAATCAAACATTTTCCAATTATAGAGCATAGCAAAGTATTCATGTAGAATAGTACTGATAAGTTTCAACAAGAGTCATACTTGGATAACACTAGCTTGGATCAATGCAATGGAATCGTTTTGTTTAATTATACAAACCGGCCACTAATGCAAGTAGATGTATTAGGAATGGAATTAATAGAGCACTCAAGGTTAATACAGTACATAGGTAGTAGACTGAAAACCTTGATTACAACAGTAAAAGATTATTAGTAGTTATTTTTTTCTTCGTGTGTCTAATCACACAATTCTTCATAAAACTTGGCGAGTAGTGGCCCACCAAGAGCTATGACGACAACGCTAAAGTGATTATACTCATTCATTAGGCTCCATCAACCGTGTATATTTTTTAATTTTTCAGGGGGAAGATGGACGCCCTGGTGATTCTGGACTTATAGGCCTTAAAGGAGATAAAGGTGAATTAGGGCCTCCTGGTCCCAAAGGTGATCAAGGTCTTCCAGGTGAAGAGGGACCACGTGGACCTCACGGAGATATCGGGGATCAAGGAGACCCAGGTTTGCCTGGAGTGCGTGGTCCTGTTGGTCAGCCGGGTCCGCAGGGTCCGAGAGGAAAACCTGGAAATCAGGGTCCACGAGGACGTAAGGGTGAACTTGGAGAACCTGGTCTTCCAGGTTTACCAGGGCCAGCAGGCCCCATAGGAACATCTGGACCAGAAGGTATGGCTGGTCCGCGAGGTCCAACAGGTGTCGCTGGTCAGCGGGGACGCTCTGGTCCTTCGGGAGTTCCAGGAACTGATGGTCTTCCAGGATTTCCAGGTCAGTTAGTTTTACAATATTAGGTAAAAAGATAATTAATTTTATATTGTTCTGATCTCCTTACTAACCTGATATTACCATTTATATCTATCATTTGCATACCTAACCTAGTATCTTCATCTCATGACGAATTGTTTTCGGTGTTAACTGGCTGCAGAAAGTTGGCCAAAAATCCACAAAGCTGATTTATATTTTCGTTAGAAATGAATGCAAAAGTGTCTCTAAAGAAATTTACAAACCTTTCGTAGCAAACACATCAAAGTTAAGGTTCTCCACTTTTCTATTGAATGATATGATCTATCTCTTACAGTTTCATTTCCTTAAGGTCACAGACACACTTGTTTATAAGTCTCAGTAAATTGAAAACTCATTTTAAAATTTTCTGTAAGTTAATCCTAGCTACAGTACACTTAAATTTCAGTCTTTGATCTAGGGTTATTCTAAATTTTTGCCCTCCAGTAGTTCAGGTACTGAAACACGGCAACACAATAGTAATGACTGTAGTCTAATTTTTCTTGAACACAGATTTTGAAGATGTTCATAGGATATTTTAGTAACAGAAACCGTCATTGCTTTGTGCTCATCATGTTAATAACCTACTGGTTTAAATTATGATTAAAAATATTCTTATCATCCAGCTACGATCAACAACCTTCATTTCACTATTGAGTTGCGTTATTAATAAGATCTGTAACCCTGGATTTTTTTACTCTAGAAGTAGGATATACTTCTATTCAAGTCGAATTCCTCTTTAGTAAATAAGCCTCTTTTTAAACCACCGTTTGTTAATCCTCGTGTATGACATGAAACTGATGAAGCAACGTCAAATATTACTTCGGACTATTTAAACTTATGTTAATTTAATGTCTGTTATTTAGTTACTCTGAAAAAGTGGCTTACATTAAGTCACGAAACGTCAGAAATACAATTTTCCTACTCATTGGAATATAAAAAAGGTATATTTATTATTAACTCTCTATCCAATGCTCAATTTATTTGAAACAATCAAACCCAACTTTGGCACTGATACTTATTACTTAGATTCTTAGAAAATATTTTACTCAACTCCATTTGAAAATGATAATCAGATTCCGGAAAACTATCAAACATATGATAAACCCTTAAAATAAAACTTAAATTAATGTTAAATGAACATTAGTGCTAGAAAACCCACTCAAAAATTAATACATGCGATTATTTAAGTGTTATAAACTACATATAATTGTTTTCGTGAAACAGTTAACAATTTATTTGAGACTTTTTTTGAATCAGACCAAACTATTCTATTCATCTTTCTATTATCCTGGTTTATCCATTTCCTTATTACTTTCTAGGTCCCAAGGGAGATGTAGGGCCTAAAGGAGATACAGGTCCGAATGGATCAAAAGGTGATACAGGTATTCAAGGACCAAGAGGTTATAAAGGTGAACGGGGTCGATCCGGTCCGGAAGGTGCAAAAGGGGAGAGTGGAAAACCAGGGCCTGTAGGAGTGCCTGGAGATCCAGGTCCAAAAGGAGTGAAGGGAGACGTTGGAATATCTGGCCCCGTTGGATCGCCAGGGGTTACAGGTATGAAAGGTGACCCAGGTCCACCTGGTCCAGTTGGACAAAGAGGAGACCCCGGGACCAAAGGTTTACCGGGTGCTGTCGGTACTCCAGGTCCACCTGGTCCAGATGGGGAAAGAGGTCCACCAGGTTTAACTGGGAGGCGAGGGCGAGGTGGTGACAAGGGAGACATAGGACCTCCAGGTTCACCGGGTGAAACGGGGCAGCAAGGGCAGAGAGGGGCTCCTGGGCCACGAGGTCCACCAGGAAGATTTGGCCCACCGGGAATGAAAGGAGATGCTGGTCCGGTTGGCCCAGTTGGATCGGTCGGACCGATTGGTGAACAAGGTCTTCAAGGTCCCGTCGGACCTCCTGGACCAATAGGACCACCAGTATGTCCCATTTTTGTGGTTGTAAATTTCTGGAAGGAAACTTTTGATCTTTAGCTTCTTTATGTTTTGTTTTTATACAGTCAGCTGCTTTTTCAAAACTCCAGTTACAAGAATTTCGACGTTAGTATTCAACAAATTATCAATGTTGTAATAGTTAAGAATTTGTCGGACAGTAACTTATGAATTCCAATAACCTTCCACACACCACGTCAGTGGGTTTTTAACTGAGATTAGTGTTCATTCTGAAAAAAAGATCTCTACACTTGTTTGGACTATCTTATACTTTCTCGAAAATATTTCACAGAAATTTCGCACTGTATCTTCCATAAAGATATCTATGGGAGTTTGCAGCATACATTATTCTCTTATGATTAGTACTTCTATCAAAATGAAGTCAGTTTATGTATTATGAAGAAAAATATGTAAAAATATGTTCAGCTGATATTCCTCGTTATTGAACAAGTCGTTCATTTTTCAAGCAATGATAAATTTGTCCCTTCTAGGTAGAAGTAAACTATATATTTCGTACAAAGAGAAATTAATATTATGAGCACAAATATATTCATTTGTGAATATTTGTGTAATTACTCAATACATTTAAGATGATGGAAAATAAGGACTAGTCAAATCTTTTATTATAATCAGAGATTAGTCAGTTATCTCTGAAGAGTACAATCAACTGTCGCATTTTCAAGGAGAACATTTATTCGCAGAGATTATTTCTCCACTTTTATTATTCTTCGTATTAAAAAACCAGTTCACTTTAATCACTTTCATCTTTGCTATTCTTGAACAATATCATTAGGGTTCAACTGGAAGAGAAGGACCTGTTGGATTTCCTGGACCACGAGGAGAACCAGGTGAACGTGGACCAGCAGGACAACCTGGTAGTCTTGGGAACACTGGACCACCGGGTCCTATAGGTGATCCAGGACCTGAAGGACAACAAGGTCCAGTTGGACCAACAGTGAGTTACTTAATCTATTTAATCCATATGCTATTGCTTAACTTGTTAGTATTTTGTAATGTTTGAGGCTCAAACGATATAAAGTTCATTATTTTCAGTTCATAGCATGTAATAAATCAGCTTTTGTGCTTTGTCTATTACGATAGGATAATAATAATAATAATATAGGATTTATAATTTTAGAGCCTGATTAAGAAGTTATTAAAAACAGTCGTACGCTCTAATACTAACCGTCCTTAATTATACGTTTGTGTTTGATAGTTTGACGATGGCTCCTAGATTAATTCAAAAAATACGGAAGCAATATACAGATCTTGAGATATAACCTTCTAGATTTTAAAGGGGATGAACAGATTTTTCCATGTGTTTACTTGTGTAAGTGGCATAACTGCTAGCTTCCAAACAAATATTTATAATAAACATTTTGATGTCACCATAGTTTCATGAGAATAAGTATCGTTAGAGAAATAATCTGTAAGCAGAAGATTTGAAAAAAAGAGCGATGAGTGTTTTTAAGATTATTCCAAATTTATTCGATTCGTTATCATGTAAACTTACTGCACACAATAAGGTGCATTTTAGTTTATTAAAAACACGAAGTTCGGCGAAGGGATCTCTCTTCTACTAGTTCACCTGCTCTTGTGGAGCAAGGTGCTCGCTTTCAACTCCGATACGAGGACATATCCCAGTTTGGCTCTACAATGGTGAAAGGAAAGTAGTTAGGAGTTCTATACTTGAACAACTAATCGACTGTAATCATCCTACGGATCCACAGTTTGATTTTACGGTTGTTTATATGATTCGTTCAAATCTACCTAGATTTCTTCGTATCCAACTTCTAAAAATTGCCGAAGCTCTTGCCATCCATCAGCTCAAACCAGAACTATGCGTACAAAAGAAGTACGTCTCATCGTTATCATTACCTTGGTCTTAACAATAATAGTAATTATTATTATGATTACTGCATTCTTCTTATGTCTTATATTCTCATTATTTTATTCATAAATGCTCATCATATCACCTTATTTATTTTTACACCTCTATGATCTTTAATGATCTTTAATTATTGTAACAAAAACATTTTAATCATCGTATTACATTCACTAAATTTATTGTTATTATTCATATTACGTAATCTAGTATTATAATCTTTCTATTACATCATCTTGGTTATTTGTGTTCACAGTTTCTCACGGAATTAGTACTTTAACAAAACATTTTCATATATATACGACTGTACAGCTTGATAATAAGTTCGTTGAAAATAGATCCCTTTGCTGAACTTCACGTTTTTAATAAAAGATGTACTCTTTAATGTAGGTATCAATGATAAGATTGGACTTAATAGTTTCAAATAAATTGAGAATTGTATAGAAAGTTAATAATAAAAAAATTGTTGTTATATCCCAATGAGTAAAAAATTGTATTTCTGACGTTTAGTAACTTATTGTAAGCCAATTCTTCGAAGTCAATAAATAACAGAATTAAACTAACTCAAGTCTAAATAGTAAAAAGGAAACAATGCAGAATATTTTTAGTACAATCAAAATCATAGCAATTTTGAATATTTCAAGTTATTCTTGGTAAACATGAATTGGTATGTCACTGTATTGATTTGTATGTCTTTAATTTCTGACTTTATCTGCTTTGACATCAAAATGAACGACATTTTTAGAAATTTAAAAGTAATCTCTCCAAGATAAATATTCATTTATGTTCTCTGATCTTTATGATTTGATCGTGAATATTTCACTATTTTTAGAAAACATCAGCGCATCAGATAGATAAAAATCACCACATATTTCAATTTATGTACCTTCTAATGTGTGTGAAATTCAGTTGCAAGTTCTTAATATATCTAAGTGAACAGATGTTTATCGTTTAATCATTATTTGTTTCATATCCATATTTTTCTTTCACTTTAAAAAATAACAATGTAGGGTCCAACTGGAGATCCTGGAAAGGATGGTATGCCAGGTCGTGATGGTCAACCTGGTCCTAAAGGTGTAAGAGGTTCACCGGGAGTACTTGGTAATCAAGGAGTTCGAGGATTCCCAGGATTCGATGGTATGCCAGGTCGACCTGGACCAGCTGGTGTGAAAGGTGAACTAGGACCTGATGGAGAAGTGGGACCTATTGGAGATAAAGGCTACCAAGGCGATCCTGGTATTATCGGACCAATCGGACCAACAGGTGCGTTTAGAAAATATCAGTTTATAATTCTTAGATTAATAGAATGAAAATTATTGCAGAATGACGAAATTAATTGTGGTATACATGCTTACTATATGCTAAATAATATTTCATCCATGTCAAATAAATGAAACTAGATGGCTTTTACTAAGTATTCATCTCAACCTTCAAGTATCCTCATAAGCTATTTCAATTATAAATTAAATTTTCAAGCAATAAAAAGTTTTTCAAGTTCTTATACTCGGTCGCCGAAATCCTGCCGCGAAACTGTGTTCCTTTTAATAAAAACGAAATGCTACTGAGTAAACATTGCTGATTAAGTTTAAAGACTCAGATAAATAAATTTTGCGGTGTAGTTCAGTTCGTACTATTCTTTTATAGAATAAATTTTCTGTACTTTAATTTAAAACGATATATTATTGTCATGACTGCCAAGTAAAAATTCGGACTAAATTAACTCTGGATAAAACACTTTGATAATTTTATACTCGACACATAAAAGTCTCTATAAATATGATTAATTTCAACCGGTTCCCCTAGCTTAGCACTTATATTAATGAAAGTATTCGACTATATCTTAATCGTAGCTTGAAGTAAGAACAGATTTAGAGATATTTCATGGAACTGAGAATGGAAAGTTCCCTATAACCGCATATATTATCTAACTAAAAGCTGCTTTTATACTTCTTTAAGCCACTGTAAAAAGTACACCATAACATGACAATCTAATTAGGACATAAATTTGTCAGGCTGAAGTATTAGGCTACTAATCAGTAGTGTGCTAAAGAATGTATATTTTTAAATACCCTCAAGAGTGTGACTGTTACTTGGAATCTTTTAAATCAACCGTAGACAGGGGATCTCTTTTATTCCCTTTTCTACATGGGACTGGAGCACAACTATACTTTCTACTGAAGACAGCTTAGCAAGTGGATGAAAGCATGAAATAAACTAATAACTTTCTAGATTAATTTTTATAAACTTCCAGGTCCGATGGGAGCAAGAGGGCCACCAGGTCCAGCTGGAGTCAAAGGTTTAACCGGTGAAGATGGTCCTTTAGGATTGATAGGATCTCCTGGACCAAGAGGACCACCTGGTCGATTAGGTCCTATTGGACCATTTGGGCCCCCTGGTTTTGATGGTGAAAAGGGTGATAAGGGTGCATCAGGACCACCAGGACCAAAAGGAGATAAAGGAGGCGTGGTAAGTGTTTTTATATTAGTTCTATTTTAATTAAATATTGAATTTTTTCAGTGTTTGTTGATAAATAGTTACAATACTTGATTATTACTTCAAAAGGTCTTGTGCATGAAATATTGTTTGGTTTTTACTTGAGTTTTTATGAAATTCACTCAACCTTAGTGTTTTGTCTTTTTATGAAATAAATCTTGTTTAACCGAGTAATTTATCAGAATTGCATAGTTACTTTACATCATTTCATTATAAGGGTATACGTGGACCTTTTGGACCAGTTGGGAGCCCTGGATTACCTGGAATACAAGTAAGTAATCATTCTGTAAATATAAATTTTTTCAACAGAGCTTGGTAATTCAATTTCGCCTTTTAATATTTACAAATTTTGTACAAAACAAAAACGGGAACAACCACTTAAGGTAACTGCAAGAACTGTATAGCTTTTATAGGTATTATCAAATAGGTTAATAGGATTCAACTGGCGACAATGTAGAAATCTGAAGACTAACCTACTTTGAGATAAACCGGACACTGTAATGAAAATTCCCAATTCATCCAGAACAATCTGATCATACATTTACCTTTTAAGAAAATTGATATAAAAGGGGATAAAATTAAAATTAATCAACCAATAGTTATAACAGGGGCAAATATATGGAAGATAAAGTATAAAAAAGAATGAATGATAACCTCCATCAAGATTTCTGAGACAAAAATTGGATTACAGATTACCATAGCCGGTTAAGGATGGGGATGAGCCATATTTTACATATGAAGACGGGTTGGGTTTCTTTATTCTCAGGAAAAAACAGCTAAAGATCTATCCTAGACAGTTTCTTCTTTATATTTGATATCTGTTTTAAGGTCAGTGTTATGACAAACTTCAACCATGATGATGAGCATAGAGGAAGATAAATGTCTACACTGTGTGCTTATTATGAATTACAACTCTAAATAAACCCACAGTTGTTTCTTCAAACATCCCGTCACTTTCAACTACATAGCTTCCAAAAGACACTAAATAACTCTTCCCTATGTGCCACTTCACACACATGTGATCTGTAATGGCATGATACGTAACCAAGTCCAAGTGGAACTGTAGGACTTTTTCGTACAGAAATGGAAAGCTTGATTTCCTAGTGCATCTTTCTACATGTGTTTTCACTGTACAGTTTAAAAGAATAAACTATGAGACTAGGGTATTCATGGTAACGTGATGTAACGAAAGGAATTGTAAAATATAAGTAAGGGCTTTGACATCAGTAGTATCCACAATGCAAACCTTTTGGGATTTTTTAACAAGGCATCCTACTATATATATAACTTATTAGAATGATTTTTCTTGATTTTAGATTATTGGTTTGACCAGTAGAGAAGTTACATAGCTTTCAAATGCTACTCTGATAAAAATTTGTATTGACCTGCCCTTACTGTTTAATCAAAAACCCTCATTAGGCTGATTCGATTTTCGAATCTTTACTTATGAAATTTCTGAATACTAATTAACGAAGGAACTTTTAAAACCTCACTATTTATCCATAATATATTCATTTTATTTTATTCAGGGGCCACCAGGACTCCCTGGACAAGCCGGTGAGGAAGGACCTGAAGGATTGGTTGGTCCAGAAGGATCTAGGGGATTGCCAGGAGCACCAGGTGCACCTGGAATGGTAGGTGTCACAGGTCTACCAGGAATAGCAGGAGAAAAAGGAGACCAAGGATCACAAGGTCCTATTGGTCGACGCGGTTTACCCGGGACAGTTGGAGTCCCTGGCCCGGCTGGCCAACCTGGAAGTGTTGGCGCACCTGGTCCTGTCGGGCAACAGGGCGAAAGAGGGACTCAGGGAGAAGATGGACCACCAGGACCTCGAGGTGTTGAAGGAAGTCCTGGAATACAGGGACCACTAGGACCAAAAGGTCAAGAAGGTCCTCGCGGGCCACAAGGAGTACCTGGTGATATAGGGATCCCAGGACCTGATGGACCAAAAGGAGAGTTGGTGAGTCGTTTCGCTGATTTCAAAGTGTGATTAAACAGCTCAATAAATACATTAGTAACATTCTATATTAAACAATTACTAAGACAGATGACCTTTAAAAACTGAAGTTAGAATGTCAGTAGTGTAGAAAAACTCTGTTGGAAGTAACAAAATACCCTTATAATAGTTAATTTATTAGTCTATGTTCTCTTGTTATGGTATATAAGGAGTTTACAAAGATTGAATACAGATGGATTTCAATGGACGATAAGAAATTCTAATGATTCAATGTGAAGTTCTACGTACAACTGATTAGACTATATCATAATCTTGAAGCTTAAAAAACCATTAAAATTTTTATTTAAAAAATAAAAATGCAGTAGAACCGTCATTTGATAATGATTCGGATTAATAAGCTGCCTCATTTTCTTTTATAAAATGACATAAGAATGCTCTTTGTATGACCTTTTACTATCCATGCATTATTTTCTCATAGATTGCAATAGATTTCTAAAACAAAATTATGCTAATTAAAAACAGTAGTATGAATTGATATCAACTAAAACCTTAACTCTCGTTTAGAGAAATATTTATACAAAAATGTATATAGAATATTTCATATTGTCAGTTCATTGTCTTTTTTTACAGGTATAAAATAGGTACTTTCGATCCTATTAGGCATTAACCTTAAAATCAAATAGTATAATAGCAAAAATTCTCTGTAATAAATACTTACTTACTTACGCCTGTTACTCCCAATGGAACATAGGCCGCCGACCAGAATTCTCCAACCCACTCCGTCCTGTCTATAATGATTAACCATAACTACATTTCTAGTCTCAGTTCTATTCCGACTTAAAATTATTTGTATCTACCAATAAGAAAGTGAGTTGATTTAAACCAGGATATCAATAAGTGATCAATTGATTTACTAAGAATTGTTTATAATTTCAAAACTAACTTAAGCTATTTACCCCTCTTCGAGGAGCATAGGCCACCCACCAGCATTCTCCAACTAACTCTGTTACGGACAATCCTTTACAGCCGCCATTCATACTTTTCATGTCTGATTCCAATTCCCGACGTGGTGTATTCTTTTTCCTTCCACTTTTCCTTTTTCATTCAGGATTCCAAGTTAAAGCTTGCCTCGCAATCCAGTTTGCTAATATCCGCAATGTATGTCCTATCCAGTTCCATCGTCTTTTCCTAGTTTCCTCTTCAGTTGGAAGTTGGTTTGTTCTTTCCCACAATAGGCTGTTACTGAAATATTCCAAGAACTGAATTATAAATGCATCCAATTTACCTGAGATATTTTTTCACAATAGTTTTAATGCAGTTATGATAAGTAAAGATAGAATTAACTGTAGGTTGTCATAATACGTTACATATCAGAGATTATTTCTCATGGTTCTCAAAGACCGATAATATACGTCTCCATGATTCCATCATCTGAAATTATTTGAATACTGAACGTATGTTCCAAGCCCTATAATTTGACACTATTGATTTTTATGGAAATTTTACTTTCTATACTAGGAGAGAAATTCAACATTTTATTCCACCCTATTATTTCTTTTGCTTGTATTCAAGATTCTGTGGAATAAAAAGATAAATTTACTGAATGGAACATTTTATTTCATTTTAAATGCTCAGGGTCCTTTAGGAATACCTGGACCTCAAGGACCAACAGGACCTCCTGGACCAAAAGGTGTTCAAGGATCAGTTGGAGAGGATGGGCCTCCCGGACCACAAGGTCCTCTTGGAAAACAAGGTTTAAGAGGTCTACCTGGACCTCTAGGACCACCCGGACCTCCTGGTATGACCGGTCCCCAAGGACGTACTGGACCTCAGGGTCCTAAAGGTATGAAAGGCGAAACAGGTGAACAAGGAGTACCTGGTGAACCAGGACGCACTGGGCCTGTAGGATCCCCCGGACCCCCAGGATCTTTGGGCAGTCCTGGCCAGCAAGGTGTACCAGTAAGTAGTAATTCATTTTACTTATTATATCCATTATGTATTGATTATTTCTGTACGAAAAGCATAGAGAAGATGCGTGATGGTTGATAACTACTTATGATATTAAAATTTTAAGAAATAACCTTCCAATGAAAATTTCATGAAAGCTATCTAGTTATCTAAGAATCATCGCCTAAAATTCGTGGATTCAAATAACTTTTGTAATTAGTGCTGACCAAAAGAAGTAATTCTAACTGATATTGTGAGTAGAACTCCTCGCTTTTGCTTTTTCTAGTTCTAGTCCTAAATCGTAATATATTCTGAGATATCCAGCAAGCCATTATATCTGAGGTCACTTAGCTTTTCCGTTTCTGAGTATATAGTGTTTACTCAGTGTTTGCTCAATTAATAAATTTCGTTAAGTTATTTTACACGATATTAGTTACTTACCTAATAACAGAACGATAAATGGAGATGGATGGTGGCTAGCAGTAGAATTCACGACGCACGTTTAGTTCCAGTTGGGACTCGTCAGCTGGATGTACCTTCATCCCAGAGTTAATGTTCACTCCTGGACTTTAACCCTGTACCGTTCACTGACGAGTCCTAAATAGGACGAAACGCGCATCCCGCATTCCACTGTTAGTTACCATCCATCTTTGCTTATAATTACAGCACTCTATTTACAAATAGATATAATCTTAACCTAAAGAGAAATAAGATAGTTAAGAAATACTTGAGTGATCACCAAAATTAAACTATAAAACAAAGATATTACTTTAAATAAATGTCACTATTATTTGGTCACCAAAGGAAATAAAACAGTTATACTCTTCAAACTCATTCTTTAATACTTTTTACCTTTGTTTGAATGATACATTTTTTGTTTACATTTACTTATAAGGCATGAATTCCATGTTTGGATATTTTTAGTTTGATACTAACACATCTGTTAAGTGATATTTCAATTTTATGTGATTTTTTAAATCTCCAGCTGATTATGAAATATTTATTTTACAAGCCAATCAACTGAGAAATATGAAGTTCGAGCAGCTTGGAATATCTAGTTTTTTAATATAAACATCAATCATTTATTGAAAATATTCAGTCATCCGAATTTAGTTTGCTTGGGAAAAAAATACACAAATTATATCTATGGACAATCACAATGACAAATATAAAAGTTATCTACAGAAAAATGAATGTATATATTTATTTAAACACATAAATATTGGTACAAGGAAGCACCAGATATATATGCGTCACACAAATCTCATTTGATTTCTGTGAGGGCTGTGATACTGCCCAGGTGTCCAGACTGAAGCAGGTGGTTTTCTTAGAAGCCCACACCCGGAGCCTTTGACCTAAAGATCTGATCCCAAAGGTGGTGGAGCATCGTAAGGAGATGCAGTCCCATGGTAGTCGGTGACCAATAATTGGTTCATACGCTATTTGTTCCTTTGGGATACTGGAGCCCATGTGTACCATTGGTTTGGAATCAGGGTTTTCCAACTTCCCTAGATGGACTTTCCACATCCACCTACCCGGTTAAAGCTCAGGACATTCGTTTTTCGTCCTCTCAATTTCGTAAACAACAGTCATACCACGAGAAGGCAATGAGTAGGATTTCCCTGGCAGATGCTATATAATCGTGGCCATGTGAGAGCATTTGGAGAGGGAGAGAGTACTCTCTGAACTCTCGGCCGTACCAGGGCATTTTGGGGCTAATAAATGACATTCATAATGTCGATAATTTTAAATGATACGGAAAATTACAATGATAAGAAGAGATTAAACTGATATGCATACCTTGTAAAGTATAGAAAATCGCAACAGACTGTTACATGAAAACAAAAACGAAAAAGCCTTTACAAATAAAAATATGAACAGTAAGATTATTAATTGTAAAGTACACGAATCTAAACCATGTCAAAATGAAAAAGAAAATATCTAATGAAGATGAATGAAAGTACCTGATAAAATGATAAATGTTTTGAAGAGCACGTAAAATCTAAAGAGAATCTCTACTGGGTTCGACTGTCAACTTACGTTCAAGAATGTTGACTGTATTTATAAAGTTAATATGTGTATAAGCTATTCGATTTATAAATTAACAGTATAAGCATGGTCATTTCATTAGGCATAACGAAACAATGTTTTTTAAGACTGAGTAAAGTGTATCTTGTTTTATTTATAGTGCAAAGGATGTGATTCTATATTCTTTGATTTCTTTTTCTGAAACTTACTTATAGGGGGTAATGGGTAAACAAGGAAAGACAGGAGAACGAGGATCAGAAGGACTGCAGGTAAATCAATACATATATTTTTTGTTTTCAAAGGTCAGCTTATTACTTTAAATAAACAGAATAAAATTTTAACCGTTTTTGGTTTATTCATTATTTAAGTCCCTGATGTGCATTAGTGTAATATTTATTCTTTAAAACCTGGATAGACATTAATGTTTCCAGATGTATTGTTCAACGTTATCTCTAAAACCTTTTAACAGGATCTAGTTTAGGTTCATTTGAATTAACTAGGAGATATTTTGTCCCCATATAAACTATATGTGACTTTGAACTTTTCACACATAAACCGTAACTGTTATCGTTCATTTATGTACTGAATTATTTTCAGGGCAAGCAAGGTGATCCTGGTATACCAGGTGACCGTGGTCCGAAAGGTAGCAAAGGAACTTATGGTCCAGTCGGTCCTTTGGGGCCTCCTGGACCAAAGGGTGAACAAGGTGTTCCTGGACTTGAGGGCGCACGAGGTGTGGTCGGCCTTAAAGGTGAAAGGGGTCCTGTCGGACCTGCTGGAGACCCAGGGCAACCAGGTCCATCTGGACCAATCGGTCCTGAAGGTCCAGCTGGACATCCTGGTCCACCAGGTTAGTGGATGAATTCGAATTTTTAAATAGAAGTTTTAAATCCACGAGTTTTATATCTTATATATTATCGTTTGTTATTTTCCACACTGCACTATACAAAAACACCTGATAATTTTATTTAGTACAGCAAAAGGTAAATAATTGTAAGAAGTTTTATCATGAAAAGCGGGGCTCGTTAATCATCTGGGATGAAGCATGAGTTATAAACATGAAAAGTCCAGTAAATATTTCACATTAAAACAGCTTTACTTCTTCATATCAACTAATGATAAACAACTCATTCAATATTCGTGGAGAAATACTCTTGTTATTTCGAATACAATCATGCTATGAATAACGTATAAAGAGTTAAACACTTTTTAGTATCTTGATTCGAGATCTGAAATGAAACATAAGTTAATAACTATTTCCTTAAATCGTGATTTGCAGTCATAAACAACGAATTTTAATACACGTTACCTGTAGATTAAAAAGTACTTACATCAAGAATTATGGTTTTAACATAAACTGAGGTTACTATGAACATTTAAGAGAATTAATTGTTTCAAGTTATAAAGGCAGTTGTATTTCTATATCGTTTATGCAGACATTACGTCATTACTAAATATATTGAGATTTCTTAAAAATGGAACTGAACCTTACTTTTTGTTATTGGTGATTTTGATTTAAATACATTTTTCCTTTATAGGATTACCTGGTGTTCCAGGTCAAAAGGGTTCATCTGGTCCAGCAGGACCACCCGGACCTCCGGGTCCAATCAAGGTCTTAGATATGAGTGAAGGTTATTATAGGTTTGAGGATACACCCAGAGTTAGACGTAGTATTTCAGATGCTTTATACCATAATCAATATTATTCAAAACAGGATCCAGGTAAGTTATATTATAAAGTAAATAATCGGTTGAATTATTTTACCTTAGTCTCTCTTCTAAGCGTTTCTGTGCAAAATTCCAGGTGGTTCTATATAATTTTTCACTTCATAATTGTTGGTAGACTACATACTGAAAGATCCAAACGTTTATGAGATACTAACTTTAAGACACCTTTCATCGTCTACAGGGATGACCCTCTCATTTTCGTAGTAGAGAAAACTCTAAGATTGACTAAAATAAACATTACTAAGATTCATAAACCCTTATTTTGAAAAAAATGGGGTCATTCACTAAGACAAAATTTCTGTCTTAAAATGTCTCAAATAAACAAATTACGAATCAATAAAAATTAATCGAATGGTTCTTTGTTTTTCAAGTATAACAAACTATTGTGACTTAAAATCTGAGGTCATAAGCTCTATATTACTAAAACACTGAATCATAAACTATACTTGAGCTCATTTTTATAGATTTCATAACGTTGAATTAGTTTTATTGCATGTACGAAAGTTATTAAGTTTTAAAACAAAATTTTAAAATAATCATGTTATCAAATTTCTGTTTTCTGACCTATGAATTTGACTAAGTCAGTAATGAACCAGATATCTATCAGAACTTTGAATAATTTTAGCACTATATCACAAGTAAAGTCAGGAATAGTTAACTAATGGACATAGGTCAATTTACTGAACAATATCTTTATTGTCAAACTTGAAGGTTATGTATTCAACAATGTGTGAAGTAACAGATACTCACTAATGGCTGTAAAATAAGATTCATTCTGATAAAAAAAAGTCAAACCGTAATTACTTTGTGAAGTTCTCTTGCATGCTGCATAATCGTATATTTATCGTTAACGTTCAACTCTGTGTATTTCACAACTATAAACTCTCTCGAAAAAAGTTACGTTCAAATAGATCATTAGTCAACTAGTCTATTATTCACAACTGATTGATCACTGGGTGGTGATCAATCTCATGCGTGTCAGGTCCTTCTTAGTGCTGATCGAATGCTATCGATCGAGTTGCAATGTGACCACCAGTCTAGGTGGCTCGAATCCGCAAGGGAGCATCAGTTCCCTCAGGATTACAGGTACACCTTGCTGACGAGTGCCAAGTAGCACGAAACCCGGGTCCAGGGTTTCCTGTTGACCACCTCCAACCACCATCTTACCTCAACTAGTCTATTATTGTCAAACCATTTCGAAATAGATCGGTTTTAAGCAAGATATGATCTTAAGTATTTAGTCACAAAGGGAATAATTAGGACAAAAAAAGTGAAACGATGATAAGTTTTAATTTTTGATAAAATTCAGAGTATACTGGACTAAGCGATTCTTTTGGGATATTATAGTTCTCTGAAACTTTTAGTTTAAAAGTTCGAATATAACCTTATTCACATTGTTTTTACTATTAATAATAAAAAAATTCTGCACAACTAATAGATGAAAGTATTACACCGAATACAATACCATCAGTTGGTGCAGTACTACGTCGTATATATGCAAGAATTGAAAGTTTAGAAGCGTCTATGAATAGCTTTGAACGTCCAATGGGTACACAACAAAATCCAGCTAGACATTGTCGTGATATATTTGAAGCTGCTGAATTTCCAGAAACTTCTAAATCTGGTACTTACTGGATTGATCCAAACCTTGGTTCACCAACTGATGCATTCACAGTTGAATGCAGATTTCAGAATAAAGGGAATGTTGCTGAAACATGCATTAAACCAAGTGAAGATACAAAAACAGTAAGTATGAATATAATTTATAATTTTATTTGTCATCCATAAACAAACTATCAATAGTTACGAAACGTTTCTTTCAGACAGTCAAGTTATAAAATACTTTTAAGATGACAATAGCACTAATAATTTTATAGAATGTATATGAATTTAATTTGATCTTATATAATATTAAACTGTAATAGGTGTCTTGCATCCTATTATAAATTTATTTTAATGAGGAAATTAAAATCATCAAAGTTAGA